GGGTTGAAATAGTCCCGCACCAATTTTGAGGGCGGAAAAATAGTCCACCTAGAACTAAGATAATTATGAGTTAATTACGTGGGTACCAAATAAACATATATCTATTGGTATATGTTATCAAAGGCATGACCCCATTTTCTATAAATTTCCTCTTTCGTTCGACCCAATTTCGAGATTCTAGAGAGTTTTTCATTAACCATAATATTTTTATTTGTTTTTAATATATTTTAAATTATTAATTATTGTGACTTATAAACTTATAGGAAAACTTCAACCAAATTTTTAATTTTTTGTCAAACAAGATAATACAATTCCTATTGCAAAAATAAAAGCATATACTATAAATTAAACCCAGCTCATGCACGAATTTATACAGTGTCAATAGAAGTTTCCAAGAATCCATAATTGTTATATTATGTAAATATAAAAACTAAAAACCCTGAGTCCTGAGAACAACATCTATAAAAATCCAAAAACGATAATAATTATAGAAGTTTTCGAAAATTAATTACAACATCGAAAAAGTAAAATATAAACACAACCTAAAGAGAGCATTAATTAGAGCATCGAGCATTAACCTCGATGCTCTTGCTCAAATCCCTTGTATTCCTCCACCACCAGCTCAAATAGCTCATCATAACCACCTGAAATTCCCCATCCAGCACTACCTGAAAATTCCCTTTCTACCACCACTAGCAGTTTCGTTAATATGTGTCAAAATATATAAAAGTAAACATACCAGGTAAGTCAATACATAGTATATATATACATATAATATTTTTTTACCTACCTATACTATATTTTTCCCACGAAAGGATGTCATTCCTTCCTATAAGGTGGCTTTGCCACTGTAATGACCCAACCGGTCATTTTAACTTTTAGAAACACGTTCCTTAAAATAAAACTCCCCGAACATGCTTTTATTAATTTATGACTCGCGGGGATGGTTGGTTCGAGATTTGGAAGTGTGTGAGTTGAAATCAGAACACTTGGTTCCTTAAGTTAGCTTTAAATGGACAAGTTTGACTTCGGTCAACATTTTGAGAAAACGACCCCGGAATCAAAATTTGACGGTTCCAATAGGTTCACATGATGATTTTGGACTTGGGTGTATGTTCGGATCG